TTGTTTATGTTTATATAGGTGAAATGGAAAATAACAGAACAAAATACTGTAACAAAGTATCCTGAAGCCCAAAAGTATGAAAATCTTTTTAGTATGTAAGAAATATTGCAGGAAATAGACCACATTTCTCTGATAGCTAGAAATTAACGCATGCATTTAACTGCAAAAATCTGTGTTCTGAGTTTACTTTAACAGTAGAAGTCCAGATTCTGTACTTGTTTTGTCATAATAGAATCCCTATGAGGCCCTTTGGCTCCCTGCAGTATAAAGTGTGTATTGGTGAGAGAACAAAGCAGAATCCTATTTGATTTATTTTGCTTTATGAATACTCTTCACTGCTGAGTGTTAGAAAGAAATTGATTTTGAACAGTTCTTGTGTTGAGAAATCAAATTAATACTAAATGTTATTTTTCGTTTGGGGTTGTGTTCTAGTTTAAGACCAGAAAAGGAAAGTGAACACAAGTCATTGTTTCTCTTTGGACACCCATATTCCCAGATCGCTTGCCCGTTAGATTTGGGTGGACCTGCAAGGCTTTGTTTTCATTGTGTCATAAAATAAATCTGTAAGGCATAAGTATAAAGGGATGAATTTTGAAGGACTCTGCTGCAAGTCTGTAAACAGAGCAACAGATCTGATTCAGCTCCCCTTCCCTTCCCAGAGGCAACACATGTGGGAGGCTTTGGAAAAGTTTAGTAAGACATCTCGATGATGTCTTCATTGTATTGTCTCGCTGGAGAGTTGGTTTAAGACACAGACATTAGTAAGTGCACACACATACAGACTAAAATAGCTCCTCGCATGACAACAATATGGGGACCCCCTGCTGGTTAGTGGGTGTTCCCTGTTTGAGAGTTTAAAATACAGCCATTGCTCACACCCTTGCATTTTGAAACCTCAATACAGAAATTGTAGATGTTGATCGTCTACATTTTTTTAAACATTTTTTTGATTCCCTAACAGTTAGCCACCCATTCCAACTGTGTCTTCCAGCTGGCTTAATCTGCACAGTTCTGTCAGAACAGACTGCATGTGCACTATATGCAAAAGCAAGCAGTGAGTACCTCATTTCCACCAGTGCGCCTGGCACTCACTTTTTATTTGGCAGCTTCATCATCAATTGTATCAGCAAATAGTGCAAAATTGTGCACTTAGCACTTAGTCCTGTCTTTGTGATTGATCTTGCTCCAGTAGAGTAATTGTGATCTGTCTATTCAAACAAACTCAACCCCTGGACATTATGCCCAATTGTTCAGATTAATTGTGTAGTATTAAGATTAGGATTGAGATTGAGAGGACCACCATTTTGCATTTTAATTGCACAGTTTTTCCTGAATAAATCCATTTTACATATACAAAAAGTGAAAATCTGTTTGTCTATCACTGAAGTGCAGCATCCAAATGGGTGTCGTGAGGCACAAATAGAAATATTCAGGGAGCTGAATATTTCTATTCAGGTAGACCTCTACAGCACAGCCACCATACTGGAGCATACGTCTGAATGTTGTGGTTTAGATGGCAGAGCGCCAGCTCTTGGGTTCACCAGCACTCGCGCAGCAACATGGATTTTCTTGACTTGTCTCCAATCCTAATACTGTCCAGGTCCAGCATTGCCTTTCTTCTGAGATCTGATAGATCAGGCTACAAGGTGGTGACCCTGCTGTCACCTAATATAGTAGAGGTAGGGCACAATGTTATCATTTTGGGAATAGATTTCACCAGTGATGTCAAAAACCTACAGGAGCCTGGCAAACCACAGGGGTGATTTTTGGCAAGTCAAGGAAGCCCTCACTATGTCTGTTCCCCTCGAGACTGGTAGGTAGTTGGCAGTTATCATTGCCCAGCCATCACACTGTATCGGTATCGGTATCACTGTATCAGCATCCTTAATTTCTGAGCAGCTTGGGAGCCCCAGGTGGTGATTTAAAACATTATTTAAGGAGAGCCTTTCAATTAAATGATGTAATATAAACATTATAGTTATCGCTACAAAGAAAAAGGTTCATAGCAATAACATTATTAACACCTCAAAATTGAAACACTTTCATTGAAAAGATTGAGATTTGGACCCTTGAAGGTTACAACCAGTAGAAGCATGCAGTGAACTTTATGACCCAGTCACATATTTAAAACCATCACAGGTAATTTCGTCTCATTATTTCAAAACACTTATCTAATGAGAGGTTGAGGTTACTTACACACTGCTGTTGTGGGAAAGATCCTCTCATTTGTTTTTTTTTTTCTAATAAATCCACAGTTTCCTTCCTTCGTTTTTAGGAGACAAGGTGGGTTTCTGTAATGATTTATACAGGGAATATTACGCTTAGGTTATTTAATAAAAATCAAATAGTCAAAAAAATCAAATAATGTATCACGTCTGACAAAATGAAATCTAAAAAATATGGGCAAATATCGGCTGAAATCTTTGTAATAATTGTGATGATTTTATGTAAAACGGATGTTTCAGATTTGACGATGTAATAATAATTAATAATAATAATTGCTTACATTTATATAGCGCTTTTCTGGATACTCCACTCAAAGCGCTTTACAGGTAATGGGGACTCCCCTCCACCACCACCTATGTGCAGCATCCACCAGCATGCTCACCACACATCAGCTATCAGTGGGGAGGAGAGCAGAGTAATGAAGCCAATTTTTTTATAGATGGGGATTATTAGGAGGCCATGATTGGTAAGGGCCAATGGGAAATTTGGCCAGGACGCCAGGGTTACACCCCTACTCTTTTCGGGATTTTTAATGACCACAGAGAGTCAGGACCTCGGTTTTACGTCTCATCCGAAGGACGGCGCCTGTTTTCAGTATAGTGTCCCCATCACTATACTGGGGCATTAGAACCCACATAGCCCGCACGGTGAGCGCCCCCTGCTTGCTCCACTAACACCTCTTCCAGCAGCAACCTTAGTTTTTCCCAGGAGGTCTCCCATCCAGGTACTGACCAGGCTCACACCTGCTTAGCTTCAGTGTGTTTC